TCCCAACCTAATGATTTTGTCTATAATAATATTAAAATCTGAATATCTTACCTTAGATATTATTGTTATCTAATTTTAATTGTGTAGAGAACATTTAATGCAAGCAATACATAAAGTAGAGTACATTTAGTGCAAGCAATAACAAATAATTTTACTATTGTAATAGGGTAATAGGTGTAGTTACCGCCAGTATTGTGAAAGTTTGCAGGTATTCCTCATTACTAAAGGGTAAAAGTTGCGTAGGATTTGCTTGTTCTTTGTTTCAAAGAACATATATAGTTATTAGTATCAATTGAAAAAATATTTAACAATTGTCCTTTCTTACCAAAATTACTAATGTATATTGGTGTTTCTTCAGAGATAAATCTAAAATGCGAAAAGTTAGAATAAAAAAAAATAATAACAATGAGAAATAAGAAATCATACTTTTTTTGTTTCTGGAGATTTCTCATCTTCACTTCATGTTGTTCACGGAGATTTCTTATTTCTGTCTCATATTGTTGTTTGAGGTTTCTAATTTCTGTTGCATGCTGTTTGCAAAGATTTCTAAGTTTCTTTTCAACTTCTGATTTCAGTTTTTTATTCTGCTCTTGAAGAAGTTCTACTTTACACTGAAGTTTATCAATTGAACTTTGGAGGTCATATTTCCTTTGTCGATTTTCTTCTTCAAATCGTAATTTCTCATTTTCAAGAAGTTTTATTTGATTCTCAAGAGTCTCATATTTAGCCTTTTTATTTTGTCTATATTTAAGATTGTGATTTTGGTATAGTACTATTCAAAAGAGAAAAAACGTTGTCAACATTTTTTGGAAAAACCTTGCATTATACAAATTATACAACCAAAACTAACTAAAGATTATCTTAAGATAGTTTTGAGCGAAGCTATAAAATGTAGCACATTCATTTAAATTGTGCACTGTTAATCCTTGATCATTTATTGTTATATTATTGAGCTATTTAAGCTTAACTTAATTTTTATGATATTCGTTTTACGGAAATATCTTTTTCCTGAAATGAAATTTCAAGCTTTATTAATTCTTTTCTAATAATATTTAATATCTGTAAATGTGTGTAGTCACAGGTAGAAATGGTAAAAACAAGTTCCATATAGAAGTCAGGATCGATTTGTTAGATCTAACTTTAAGTTTGAGTTAACCCAGTTTTAATAATAAACCATTTTATTGGTAATAGGTTTTAATAACAAGTCAGTTATGAAAATATATATTACAATCAACCCAACTTAACTCGATCCAATTCGGGTTTTGAATTTTCAACCGATTCCAACCTCTAGTATAAAAAATATATAACTTCTAAATAAAT